CAAAATGGTACAGGACTTTTTGATTCAGTATAGGCTGTTCTACCCACGTATGACAAAAAATGCGGTAGTCGCCAAACACCCTGTATATATCTTAAATACAAAATTACGAATACAAGAAAGCAGTGATTTGCTTACCTTTGGCAGTGGATACGTGTCCGGTAACGATAGTACAGGCGGTGAGCTCGGCGTTTCCGAGTCGGCAATAGATACTGGAGTGTTGGGAGCAAGAGGATTGTTCAGGTTGGATACGGCGGTGGCGGCGGCGGCGGCGGCGGTAACGGCCGAGGATACAGTGACGGTTCCAGAGACCGTCACCTTCGTTGTCTGCCGGCTACCGCCGTTATTCGGCTGCTCCTTCGCGGCACGATGTTCCGCGAGGAGCTTGTCGAAGGTCTTGCTGCGACCGACGACCGTTCGGCGCAGCGAGACAGTGTGCGCTTTGCATGTGAGTGACCTGGTGCAGGGCTTGCCGGTCTCCTCGTTCAACACACCGCAGTGCCGATCGGGATCATACTCGCGGTCTTTGAGCAACGAGCGATCCGTTTTAAGCCTCTTCCGACGAGGCTGGTTGCTGCCAGTGTTACTGCTGGGACCAGGGCTTTTGCTCGGACTCCCTCCGCTGCTTGTGGATGCACTGATAATATTCGAAGCACCGGCTATGTTAGAAGAGGTAGTTTGTACCGTGATCGATTCAAGAGGCGATCGGGGTGACGAGGAGATCGGCAGAGAGCCACCTGCAGACAAGTTCGCCTGATCCGCAGTACGCTTAACGGTCGTGTGGTTCAGCTTCGCGCTACCAACGATGGGAATTGAAGCAGAAACTGAAGGAACTGATGGTTGAGTGTTTCTCTTCAGCTTGGAGACTTTACAGAAGGGAGTTTTTATGGACGGTTTTGTGACTGGGGTCGTGGGTGGCGGAAAATTTGCCATGCCGGAATGGCGACACTCTGTGGCAAAATAGAAGATGTGTTTACATGTTTAATACCTGCAATACATGTATACAAAATACTAATGAGTTGCAAATATTTTGACAATTGAACTGAATCTCATAGCTGCGAATGGAATCACTGTGTACATACATCTTTTGTAATATACATAATAAAAATATTTCTTTAAGTTAAAATTCAATAACTTTGACTTAAATATATTAAATAAAATTTTCAAATATATAAACTGATAAGCAATTGCTCACTTTAAAAACACACAAAAATTTTGCGTTTTGAATTATGTCCATTTGCTTTATGTTTAGCCCTGCATTTAATAAATAATTAAAATTTCTGATTATATCATGTTCTATTGTAATTAATAGATTTACATTTCTGTTTATATACTAATAAATTATGTTAAACATAAAGCAATTTGATTATACTTCGTTACACTATACTATAAAAATCAAAATATAAATATATACCTATATGTTGAATGAGAGCTTGCGGTTTCACTATGGCATCGCATATTTCACATACTACTCCATAGAAATCATCCCTCTCTGGACAAAAGCCATATAAATCGATATCTGAAAAATGTTCCACTAAATTAGTGTTATGGTATAAACATGTGAGAGAGAGAAAGTAGTAACAATCTACATACTTGTATATATATAGATATGTATTATTTTTATATTGAAACTATTAGTAATTACCATCTGAAGAAAGACGTGTGACTGAGCTTGATGGCTGAACTTCTGTTTCTTCATCGCCTGAAACATGGAACAATACGTTGTTCATAACAGTATCTTGTATCAACCAATAAGATATTTATCTCAGAGAAAAACAATTTTTATATTTTATATATTCTTTAATAAAACATAAAATATTTTAACTATATGTCTATTGGTCTATACATATAGTATTATTTTTTTAATAAATCACGAACATATCTATAGAAGGTTTATGCTTGGTAATGTTGTACGTATCCAAAGTATTATTTAGATTAAAAAGTTTATTCTACAGCTATACTCAAAAATATTATTAAAGTATTATTTATATGAAAGATTCATTATATATCCACACTCATATATTATTAAAAGAGTACAAGACTCTCTACATAACTAATAAAAATGTTCAAAATTTCCTCAGCAAGTATTACATCGAGCTTTTAAATGTAAATATGAAATAAAGAACACAGAACTTTATAGACAAGTCAACTTTATTATTTTTATTTACATCTAGCATACATGCACAATAACAGCTGTAGTACAAAATTCAAGAGGATGAAATCTACGGAAGGGAAATGTATGTCGCGTGATTAACGCTTTCTCTTTCTTTCAACAACAATGTATCTCAGAAATACCATCAATCGATTAATAAACGATCTGCCGATCGTTTAAATCTCGTGAAATGATCGACAGCGTACGCTCGAGGCTCATTCGAATTACATAATTGTCAGTGTCCTGAAAATCATTGTGAGAACTTGGTGGCGACGGGGGCGCACGCGAGAAAATTGGCAGCGTGTTACGTGATACGTGTCTCGTACCCCCGTGCCGTTGAATGTTGATAGATGATACATAACACACAACACCCTCTTTGACATAGCCCCCTGCGATGAGGCGCGCGCGCGCGCGCGCGCGCTACCGGACAAAGGAGCGTCGAAGTGAGGTTAGGTACGCGCGCCTCCGACGCCCG